ATGGAACAACTTGAAACACTTCTTGCCTCACACCCAGCAATTATCAGCAGTTTACAATCTCTTGCAGAAGAATTCAAGGGAGTCATCAAACCATTTCTTTCTAACTTCCAATCAAGACGTGTAGCCAGTCGTTCGGGTATTGATTTAGCTGCAATGATCACTCAATTCGGTGGCTTAGAAGGAATTATGGCTGCATTTCCACAATATAAAGTAATATCGAATTACAATATCTTTTTTTTCCATGAAAACTAATTTATTTATTTGTTTAATTAGGATTTAATCGATCGACTATGCGCTGCTGCCTATGAAGTTGGTAGTGCTGTTGCAGATGACAAATTAGATATACTTACAGCACAAGCTATGCAATACGGTGAAGATGTTGTCAACAGTAAAATGAGTGCTAACACAGCTGTTGATCAATTGTTGGGAGAACTTGAAACACTTCTTGGCTCAGACTCACCACTTTTACCCGGTTTCCGAAATCTTGCACAAGATTTATTAGCAGTTGTTAACTCATTTTTAGCCTAAGTTTTCTTGAAATGTATCAGCTATCTAATAGAGAACAATCATAAAATAAACACAACTGTTTTGATTGTGAGAAAACTGATTGAATAAACTATTTGAATCATTTTATTACATTATAGACAAACATAGTTGAATTTAAGTCTAGGAAGTATAAATTGATTTGAAATCGAGTATTCATTGAAAAAGATAGGTAGTATACTTTGCAGTCACTGACATTTATCTTCAAAAAAACGAGAAAATTTAATTAAGATACATTGATTCATTTCGTAGGATAAAACTCTACGTGAAGTATATTTTTTGTATGATCTGGTTTACTAATACTCGGCGTATCGGATGGTAGAACAGTCGATGAACCAAAGAAAAGATTTACGTGTTTCTATTACAATTCAATGAAACGAATTGATAATTTTACCAATAACAGGGACGTAGTCAAACCGAGTAGAACAAAACATAATAGCCTTTTCTAATAGAAATACATTGTCGAAAGACTTTTAACAATTAGTTATAGACTTCTCAGTTCATACTTTATCCAATGGTAGGAAACTACCTGACTAAACGAACAAATATTTTTCGTGGTAATGAAGTTGAACAAAGTTCAATAAGATTCTCATACTCAATAAAATAATCATTGCGTTTGAAAAGTTCATTATCAAATTGATTTCATTCTGTATAACAAATAGAACATATTCTTGTAATCTATATAAAAAATATATTGTTCACGTTGACAGCGTCATCTAGATACTTTGAAAAATGACTGGTTACGAATAAAGACTTAAAGAAGAAGTTAACGTAAAAGTTAAAAATAGAAATAATGTTTGCAATTATTGCTCCGTTCTCTCGTGCTTTCGTGCAAAAAGTGCTTTCTCGTACACATTTGATAAAGTATAAATACTTGTTTCTTTTTGTGTGGTTTTATTATTTAAAAAAATTTTATTAGGAAAATGAGTGGTCCATGTTGTCTTGATCCTGGTGCAAAACAAACGCATCAAGCTCGTGGTCATGTAGAACAAATAGGAGGAATCAATACTTACAAAACAGGTCAAGGAAAATCAGCCATTGTGATATTTACAGATGTATTTGGATATTCTTTTATAAATATTCAAAAAGTAGCTGATAGTTTTGCTGAAGGTGTTCAAGCAACAGTTCTTATTCCTGATCTTTTTAATGAAGATTGTATTGATCCAAATACACCTAATTTACGAGAAAAAATGATGAGTATATTAACTCCATGGTTAGAAAAACATCCAGTAACAGATGCATGTACTACAGGGGAAAAGTTTATTACAACGATTAAAGAACAATATCAATCAATTCAAGTAGATTTATTTAGTTTATTGTTTCGCAAATAATCGTTTATTCTTTTTTCTAGGTTATTGGAACTTGTTATGGAGCTAAAATTGTTATTCATTTACTAGCACATCCCCAATTTAGTTCAATAATAAAAGCAGGTGTTGCAGCACATCCATCATTTTTAGTTAAAGAAGAAGCTACACAAATAAAACGACCTATTCTATTCTTATGTGCTGAAACTGATCAAAGCTTTACTTCTGATCTTCGACAAACATTTGAAAAAGAATTAAGTTCAAACGGTCTTGGAACATTTATTGAATATCCTGGAACACAACATGGTTTTCTTGTTCGACCACATGGATCCGCAGATGTTTCTCAACAAAGAGATAAATCTGTTCAAGATGCTATTCAATTTCTTAAAAAGAATCTATAACATTTTTTTTATTAACTTTCGAATTAAAATATATGCACATTAAAAATAACACTTCTCACATAATCCTGACAATTCTCATACGAAAAAGAGAGTCTAAATTGAAGAATTCTGTCATTTAAATTGTTCAATATTTGCCTTTAGAAGAAAAAAACAGATTTTACAAACATTCACTCTCTATTTTTTATTATCACATAAAAGAAGCGATTTTTATTTGTTAAATTATTACTTAAAAAAAATAATTATATGATTTTTTGCTCATAAGCTTGTGTCGAATATATCAAAACAATTAGACTAAGAATAAATAAAATCGAATAAATAGGAAATTCAAAACCACAGCCATATGGTACACCATTTTTTGGTTCTTCGGGTAAAGCAACACCAATACCTCCATGATGCGCTGCTTGATCTAGTAATAATCGATGTTCTCGAATATATCGTCGTGCATTAAATGCATTATATATGCAACTAATTGAGCGACGAAATGCACTGAAAATTAATATATACATATAGAATAAAAATAAACAAGATATCAATATGGATCATACTTTAAACATCCAAGTAATAGTACACTTTCGAAAGTTAAATGTATTCCACCTAGTTGACCTTTAGTCAAACCAATAACAGTCAACAGAATGTACAATACCAGACCGAGAAAAAAACCCTAAATAAAGAAAGAAAAAGAACAGTAGTTTTTTTTGTACTAAAAAGTTAGTGTTTATTTGATTAGGGATAGTGTAACATGCTTTATAGATAAGTGTATATTTCCTTCTAGCCTTGAACTCATCATGTAAATTTACATAGATGTTAAAAGTATAATGAAATTACATCCTATTTTGTGTTAGCTAATCTGCTTCTTTTTTTTATGATTAAATATAAAGGTCTGTAATTGAAGTATGATCAACATAAAGACTGTTGATATACTAGGAAACAGTTGCATTAAATAGACTTCATGTAGTTTCATGACCTTATCAAAATGCAAGTAGATAAAATGAGTACAGAGTCATCAAATGTAGCGTAGTATCCCTTTGCTGAAGGAAACGATCTATCAAATTAAGTTTATATCAGCTGAAATATTTCTCTCTTTTACCTTTATAAATCCAGTTATATCGTATATAAGACAATGTGTACGATGTTGACAACACTGTTCAAGTGCTTTTATTTCAGTTTTATATTCTTCTGGTATTTCACGTTTAGATTTTGATGGATTATTTGTTCGAATTGATTCATACCAATCTATTTGAATTATAAAAATAAATTTTATTATAAATCATAATTTTTTACTCAATAATTCTTCGTTAACTTCTTTTGCACATTCACCTGGTAAACCATGTCCAGCCCGATCAAGTTTCATAAGTCGACAACCGAGTGTCTATATATTATTGAAAAAAACAGAAATAAGTTTTTTTTTCAATATGATACAAACCTGTCGGATAATATATGAATTTTTTTCTCGTACAAGTCGATCTTCTGTACCAACCATAATTAAACAATCGAATGGTGAATAACGAATTTTAAGTAATTCAGCATAACTAACATAATGTCGTAGAACAGCAAATAGATGTCCTTTTACACCTATCAGTGGTGGTTTAATACGATTTTTATGTCTTTCTGTATGAAAGTTACGAAACAACTAATATGAAAACGAAAAGCTTTTTAGAAAAATTTGAAAGAATTTCTTTTTCTAACTTTTAGTTTTTCTGGATCACCAAGTATTTTTGGACCATAAAGCATTTCAAGAGAATTTTGTACTTGTAAATGATCTTCACGTATTACAAGTGATCGAAGAATATGACGAATACCAATAAATGGTGCACGACCAGCAATACCACCTGCATGTGTAGCCAATAAAGTCAATGAAAGAATTCTTTCTGGTGCTAATAATGCAAATTCAAGTGCGATCATACCACCCATTGATACACCAACAACATGACATTGTGTCCATTTCAAATGATCAATAAGTGCAAGAGCATCTTTAGCCATTTGTGTTGTTGTATATTTAAAAGTTAATGGTGCTGATGAACGTCCACAACCACGATTATCATAACTGACACACTGAACAAATAAATATATATTTTTAATTTAAAAATTTTCTTATGTAATATACCTGATATTCTGATTGCTCACGAAAAAAACCAGTCTAAACATAAATTTATGTTCATTAATATATAAAATTGACTAATTAATTTAACTTACTTGACTATACCAAGCGCCTCCATCAGTCATCAAACCCATAATAAATATAATTTTAGTTTTTCCACTTCCATGAAGTTCATAATATAAGTCTAAATTATGATTTTCAGCAGATAATTTAGCGTGAGGCATATCACAGTTGTAATTTCTATTCTCTAACGATGGTGAGTAAATGACTATGTGCTTGCCGAACTCATTCACTCAATCAACAATCTTTTTGACAAAAATTTCTATTGGATACTCTTCTCTTTATCAAAATTGATGATAACCTTCGATAGATGGATTTAGTAGTTTGAACGATATACCAAATTGGAAAAATAGTAATTTCAATCTTACAAGTTTTATTTAGTCAATTTCACAAAATATAAATTCAAAACAATCAATTGAAATTAACTACAATTAAAACGATTTATATGCCATTCAATATTGAAAACGTTCGCTCCAGCAAAACTTGCTCTTAAAGCGAACGCACTAGTACAGAATAAGATGTTCTATTTTTGCTTTAAAAAATTGTAATTTTCTTCATGATAAATAAATGCTTGTTAATTTATTAATCAAATAATCAGAATAAATGTCTATCAGTAATTTTATTAATAGATAAAAACTCTGCATATTTTTCCGCTAATTCAACAGAAATTTTTCCATTTGCATCGCAAAAAAATAAATCACATGGTTTTAAATTGAATATTGCTGGTTGACCAAAGATCATATGCCAAGTATATTCAAGTGTTCTACCTGTTAATTGATCGGAATATTCACTGGCATAAATATAATTTATTATGTTTGAATAAAATACTTTCGGATGTTTAAGAATAGCCTCTTTTGTAACCGCAAATGATGCGCAACAATGTGTTTGAATTCCTGTTAATGGTGGTGGACCAAGTTCTTTTTGTAGAACATCTCGCCATAATTTATAATTAACTGCTGCTTGTAATTCTGGAGCTCTATGTTGAAAACGAGATTGAGTTATTGCACTAGTCAAGGGCATATAACTATATCTATTCCATTTTAAAGCTCGTAATGCAACGACAATATCGTCTGGATTCTTTTGAAGCACGGAAGTTCGATGTGCATGAATAAAAGCGATTGATGATGGTAAATTCGAATAAAAATCAACAATATAACGAAGATAAACTACAGCTTCTCGGCCTTTATTTACTGATAGACCATGACTTATCAGTGGATCAGATGATCTTGTATAAACAATATGTGGAATTTTATCACCAATAAATAAATCAAGCCAATTTAAATCTTCATTATAATGAGATACAACAATCATTCTAGTTAATTGTGATTGTATACCTGTTTCATTAGATGAATTTCTTGTTTTATTAATAGATGATATATTAGAAGATATACACTGACATCGATGAGAAGTATAAAAAAGAGATAATAATAAAGCCACAATAGCTATCGAAACCAAACGATAATAAACAAGAGATAATCGACAAGCTAAAAACTGATATATATATGTCAAAGATTTTTCTCTTGTCTATTTTTTTACCTTTTAATTTAATAATAGATTGAAAAAATCTTTTCATTGATTTAGTCTTTCAAGAATACTATCAATTGTCGAGAAACAGAAAAAAATAAGAGATGTGTCCATGAATTTATTCTCTCGTTTCTTTTTCTTTCTATTGGAATGTTAACAAAGACATATATTTACTATCATGAACTTAGCGTTCACCAAGAATTTGATTTAGAAAAATAGATTTTCATTTCTGAATATGCTTGCCATGTGATAATATATAAGAAACTCTTTATTTGCTTAAATCAGATAAAAAATATAATGTTACATGTTAACATTTGCCCTTCTTATGCTTTCAAATAAAAAACAAACTTCGAAAAATATTATGTATATAAGTTTCATTTTGACCCTTTACGGCCGGCTACCAGAAGACAACAAGCAAAAAGTTATCTTTCTATATATTCTTTGTTGTTTAGTTACAGGGATCAATTTTTCACTACCGACTTTTTTAAAAATGCCGTACCCCCTACGGCAAAATTGTTGTCATTCAGCAACATCCGACCGAAAAGGGTTAAATGCATATTTTCTATGATTGAACAATTTAACTAGGAAATTTCTCATATTTGTTAACTTGTCAGATCATTGGTTATTATTTATTTCATCGAATCAGTAAAACTGATTCGGAAAGCATGATTGAATGTTTTACTAACATAAATACATATTGAATATTTATTTAAAATGAATTCTCGTTTATAAATCAAACATTTTATGTGAAGGTAACATTGATTTACGCAAATGAAATTTTTGCTATGCAAACACGAAGTTTCCTTATGTACAAAGAAAAAAGAAGACTAGTTTTTACATGAGTAAATGTAATAAATCATCAACATGTGAAATAAGACCAGCATCAGCTTCTGTCCTAAAAAATCAGAGTGAAACAATAATAATACAGGAACCAGTTAAGTATAAAAGTAAACTTACGCTGCTGACTTTTTTAATTGTTGTAATGTTTGAATAAGTTCATTATTATTATTTGAACGAGCTACATCTAAACTTCGTTTATCTCCATTGATCAAACGTTTCAAAGCACGAAGAAGTAATTTTTGTTTCGTTGTATCTGTCGTTCGAAGTATTGAACTAATTAAAAATATGTTGTTGTTGTTGTTGTATTTTAATCAAATTTTCTTACCTCAATATATGACAATGATTTTTCGTTAGAACTGCTTTTCCTTCACTACCAATCAATTGAGTTAATAACGATAGATTATGTAAAGCTATTTTAGCAATGGATGAATCTTCATTTGGTAACTGAATAAAAATGAATGTAATATAGTTTTTTCGAAATAAAATAAACATACTAAATTAATCATTGGACCAACAAGTGATACAAGTGGTTTATGAGTTTGTAATAATTTTTCTGCTATTGATGGTAAGTCAGATTCACCTATGCCAGTTTTTTTCACCTATTTTATTGAATAAAATTTTTTTCTAATTAAAAATTTTGTATTAATCTTACTTGTAATGCTCGTTTCACAATATCAAGTACATAAGTAAGATCTCGATCAAGTAATGATAATAATTCAAGTAAAACATTCATCGATATTCGATCAGTTATTGAAAAATTTAATTGATCTTGAATTAATTGTAATTGAACCGATACTAAACCTTGTTCAATCATTGTTTGAATCATTTCTCGTTGTTCTGATAATGTTGTCAAACAAGATACAACACCTTGTATAAATGGACCTGTTGGTTTATCTTTATGTTGCATAATAAGTGTAAATAAACTTGGTATAAGTTTTGATTGTGAAAGAATCGATAATGAAATCGGTGTATGATCGATTAATGTCCATATTGTTTGAATAAAACGTAAACTAAGTAATGCAATAGGTTCTTCTCGAAGTATATGTCGATCACAAATAATTGGTAAAAATGTTTGATGTAATTCCTGTTTTATATCACGTTGAATATGTGAAGGTAAAACACAATCAGTTAATTTTAATTCCGTTAATAATTCATTGAGTATACAAAGTGCAAGAAGAGAAAATTCTTCAACATTTGTTGATGATACAAGTAATTGAGAACAGAGTGGAAGTAAATCACTAAGAAGTATTTCACTAAATAATGCTAAAAGATCACGTGCACGAACAAATGCATCTAATGTTTGAGATGTATAAGATATAATTTCGGTTAAAGATGATACACCTAGAACAGAATATAGATTTAATAAAATCACTATTTTTGTAGATATTCATTTCCTCGAATAACATCCGTGAAATGTATCGCTTATAATAGCATAACAATGTTCGAGATAATTCAATGTTCTGAGATCAAATAAAACAATTTTTTCAAGGTTATAGTTGGTTTTTAATAAATCTACATGCGCGCATAAATGATACGATTATTTCAATTAGTATTACTGTCTCTCTTATGTAAATGTAGGCACTAATCAATTTATTATGGTACAAGCATCAGGGGGCGTGCCGAAGTGTTAAGGAAGGTGTTACGCCCTTGACAAACTTAAGACCATTGTCTGAACTTACCTTTTGTTAATTCGCTATGTAATTCCGCAATGAGTTTAATATTAGAAAAAAGTTTAAATAATTTTTTGATTGACATCAATGTAACAACACGAGAACGAATACACTAGAAATATTAATAAAATAAAGTAGATATGTTTAGGTTTAAAAACATACGGGATTTCCGATAATAGTTGAAATTAATCGAAATGATGGTAACCATTTTTTAAATGCATCTTTAACTGGTGATGTTTTTCTTGTTTGTTCAGTCGATGATAAAAGTTCATCTAGTAAATTATTTTTTTTGAATAAAAATAATTTGTATTTTAAATTATATATGTATACCTAATGTTCGTGTAAGAAGACTTGATAAAAGTGTTGTTAAACGATTAAGTGCTTCATGTAATAAATCATTTTCATCTGGATCAGCTGATGTACGACGAACATCACGTTCAATTGCTTGGAAAAGTCTAATAAAATCAAATCAAATTTATCACACGAAAATAATCTCTTAATATACATACTTTGTATCACTTAATGTATAAAGACTTTCATTATACGTAGATAATAAAACATATGTTAACGTATATGCTTTAGCACGAATTAGAATATTTGTATTTTCATAAAGTACATGCATTTTTGGTACTATATCCTATAATAAATCGAACATTTTTTATTTTTATAGGAGAAATTAGGAAAACATCATTGTTGTTTATCTAATCTGTAGTGCCAAAGTATCAAAATAACATATTTTTATTGACAGTTAGAAATCTCCGGATAAAGATTGGGAAAGTAGTAATTCAATGAAAAATATATCAATTTACTAATCAATTGATTGATGCCAAATTTAGATATAAATTATTATTCGATATATTTTGTGCATCTCGTTTTTCATTATTCTCTTTCATTTCATTTGCTGTTATCTCAGTGATAGTGTTGATATAAAAATACCATGTATTAACATGCGTTGCATGTTTGATAAAAAAGAAAGAAAACTACAGAATTTTATCAGGTATCGTTTCTTTGACAATATATTTCATTTCTAGCTCATCAATAGTCTATTTTTATCATATGCTTCGATTTGTATAGCTTGTTTTTCAAACTTTACTATTATGGATAGAGGAAAATTCTAATTAGTGCAATATTTCCCTAGATTGAAAACAAAAGCTGATATTGTATATGATTTTCTTTGGATTTATTACTTGTAAAAGCATTGAACGATTTTTTGTTCGTTTAGCTAAAATAGCTAATAGTGTTATAATATATTGTAGAACTTTGGAGGATGTTGATTGAAGTATATCGCCTTTGATAGTCACTTTATCAATAACGGATTGTACAACATCTGGATAGGATAAACCCATATGACATAATGCCTAAATAAGTAATAGTAACTTCTATAAATAGAAAAGCAAAAAAAAAGAATTCTGTCTACAGCTAATGCCGAAGCACGTAGATGTTCATTATTCCCAACGACGCTAGAGATATTCCAAAGTGCAAGAGCATTATCAAGTGTAGCCAATTTATCCGCTTGTTTATCAGCGACAAGTAGAAGATTTTCAATTGTTTTACATGCAGCATGATTAAGTGCAAAATCATCCTAATATAGAAAAAGAAATACTTTCTGAGAATAAATTAATGTTATTTATTTAACTTACACCATCTTTAAGACATCGACTAATTATTTGATAAGTAAAACCAGGTACAAGAGAATTATCAGATGTCTATAAAAATACATTCAATTAATATTAATAAACACCAAAAAAAAAAGATAATATACTCGTCCGGCAATAAATATCATAATTTCTCCAATAGCTTGTATCAAATATAATCTAAATTTTGTTTCTTTGCTATTTGCTCGAAGTGCTTCAGTAAGCGAGATAAGTGTCTAGAAAAAAACAGAAAAGGGCAAATTAAAAAGAAAATTAACAAGCTTATTCCTCTTAATTAGATTAAATGAAAGAATTCATTGACGGTAACATAAATGATATAAGATTGTATTTGCATATTCTCTTTTCTCTGTCCTTCCGCCTTCGCTGATTTTCACAAGGACATATAGACATTTTCCTATTGCTTCTTCTTCTTCTTCTTCTCTTCCTTTTTTTTGCTCTTTAAAGTACTCGTTCTTTACTTATCGTCTTACTCCACGTGACAAATCATGCATTCAGACGTGAGATGCAGATCGAAAGAGAAAAATGATGACGACGATGATAGTATGATATATATATATATACACACACACACACATAGATATAGATATATATATATATATGTGGATGCAAGACTGCGCATTCGTAATAATAATATTCTTTAATAAAATTTTCTCTACATTTCATCGAATATACATACATCAGTAAGTGAAGAAGAAAGTGGAATATTTTCAGTTGCTTTATTGAATATAATTCCAAGTACACGAGTTGCTTTCATTTTTCTAAATATATTTAAAAAAGAAAAATTAATAAATGAAATTTTTTTATTATGTAGAATAAATGGCTCGTTTAATACGTCGTCAATCAATGGAACGTTTAGAACTTTATGATCTAGATAAATTATTAGCTATTCCTTCAACAAATTTTGATTTATCGCCACCACCACCAATACCGCCTCCACGTAAATCTCATCCAAGACGTGCATCAATGAATCCAACATTTGAGCGTTATCAATTTCTTTGTAATATGACACGTAATAAAACCGATCCAATCTATGCAGCTACACCAATGTTTACAACAATACCACAATTATATCAAGAGAAAACTCATCGACAATTACTTGGCTCTTATGTTCGTTTAGAAAATGTAAAACCATTATCTCCGAAAATAATCGTATCACCCGAACCTAAAAGTGCCGAAATACTTGAAGAAGAGAAAGAAAATGAAGGTAATCGTGATGATGATGATGGTGACGCTATGGCAATGGAAAAAAATGATAATGATGGTGATGGAAATCAATTTAGTGGTAGCAGCAGTAGTAGTAGTGTAGAAGAAGATGATGGTGATTATCTCGATGATGATGATGATCAGAAGGGAGTTGTCGAACAAATATTTAATAGACACAAAAAAGACTAAATTTCAATCTCGTTTACTTATGTGTATAAACTTGTTTCATTAGGCAAATTTTTCTTTTTCTCTGTTCAAATAAAAATTTTTCTAATTGAAACTAATGGCTTACAATTCCATTGAGCCGCCATTTGTAATTAAATTTAATAGATCTTTATGAACATCTTTAATAATAAGAACATCAGCAAATGCACCAGAATTTGTTTGTTCAAGACAAGTGGATCCAATGTAATTTAGTAAATTTAATTTAACACGCATTCCATTTGCATTTGTAGGAGATCCTGCTGATGTAATCGACAGTTCTTTTTTAATCATATTAGCGTGTTCTTGCAGATCAACAGATGAAAGTCGACTCAAATTCTCATCTAAATATACACACAGAAAGACAAATTATTTTTCTTATGTCATAGTTCAATGTGTAGGACGATATAAAATAAATAGAAATTAATACGAAAGATTAACGTCACATCAGGTTAACTTGTTCGTCATAGGAATGTGTTTTGTGGTTGGGTTTTATTTTTAGAACTATTCTACGTATGTACATTACATGTCTTAGTAGAAAAACAATTTCAAGAATGTCCCTTGTTAGGAAAATAATTATTTTCATAATTAATTATTAGTACATATGTAAAGAAATTAAAAAACGTGAGATAAAAGTATTTAACAAAAATGTTCTTTTTTTTTCATGTACTAGATGACTGTAAATAACACTATGATAAAATTGTTGCCTTGATTTAATCAATAGTGCTAGTTTCTGCATAGAAATAGTCTCAATAAAATCTATTATTCAATTTTACGAGAGAAATTCAACTCAGCTGTCGCCCAAAAGAATAACAATAGCACTATATTAATATATAGACAACATTTAATATGAAAGGTCGATTTTACGATTACTGAATTATTCTTACATTTTCCTAATTGAAATGGTAATAATTTATTTTCGAATTTAAATGGTAATGTTTTTTGAATTTTTTGATTTTCTACAATTGATGTTGGTTGTAATTCTGCTTTTGAGAAAAGCATTTTTCGAATACGTTCAATACTTTCACTACCAATGGCCGTTGATTGTTCATGTGTATTTATTGATGAACGATCATTTGTTAATGTTTTATTACCATCGACTTCAACTGTTTTATGTGGTTGAGTTAATTGAATAGATGTTTTTGTACAACTAAAATACAAAGTTTATTCATCAATAATAAATTCGAGTAATTAATTTATTTTACCTTAAACTAAATGAGACATTCGATTCAGGTCGATCAGTTGGTGCTAATCGAGATGATATTGCTGAACGATCTAAATTAAATTATTTATAAAAGATTGAATTCAAGAAAAAATAAATAAAATACCGAGTGCGTCACTTTTGTTCACACTCTTCTTCGTTACACCTGTTTGTGGTCGAACAAGATGAGTTAACTGACCAGCCCAAAATGGATGAGTCAATACTGCAGGCCAATCCAATCTAAATTATAAATAGGTGAATTCATTGAACATTTTCAGGTTTTTTTCATTATACCTTTTTGATGATTCCTTAACAAGTAAACCTTGTAATAGACTAGTAAATTCAATAGATAATTTTGTTGAACCTTTTGTTGTTGGTAAAACCAAACGATCATTAAGAATTTTTTGTGTTAATTTATTTGTATTTTTTTCATCATATAATTGTCGACCTATGATTAAAAAATCATAATAAAAATAAATATTGTCTTTAAAAAAATGAATTACCAGCAATCATTTCATATAAAATACATCCAACTGACCATAAATCTGAACTAATAGTATGTTCACCACCACGAAGTACTTCCGGTGCAGTATAAAAAAAATTCTCTATGAATACAAAATAAGATATTCATACATTGAATAAATTTAAATATCTACCAGCTTGTGCTTTAGGTCGTTCTTTTCCACGATAAACATCATCAAGATAATTATCATAAGTTTCATCAAAAATTGTTTGTAAATGTTCTCCTTTCATTCTTGACAATGTCATATTTCCTAATTTAAATATATTCGAACCATCCGAAACGATCTATTAAATCAAACGAATTTTTATTTTTAATAGAAAACAAAAAAGTATACTTTATCTGGACTAAGATCACAAAAAATAATATCTTGTTGATGAAGATAATATAGACCTTGACATATATTAACACCAATAATACGTATCGATGTTTCTGGTAATGCTCCATCTGCTTGTATAATTGACTTAAGTGAACCACCTGTTTATAGAAGAAAAGATTTTTCGAAAAATATATTAATTATTTTATCTCATACCATCACATAAATCCATAACAAGCCAAAGATGATTTGTTGTTTCATACCATTCTCGAAATTTCATAACATGTGGATGATCAAGTTCATACATTAATCGAACCTAGAGAAGTTAGAGTAAGAAACTAAGAAAGAAATAGTTTAATTCTACATACGAGATTACTTAGTTCATGTCGTTTATGTTTTTCAACACAATAGATCATTACAAAATCAATGGATTGTTTTATTCGACCTCGATAAACAACACAAGCATCACGTTTATGAATTTCTTCATAGATTAAAAAATTATCCATTTTTCTTTTAGATAAATCAGCAATGAATATATTAGTATTTCAATTTTTCAAAAGAAAAAAAAAGAATCGATGGATTCATCGGTCATGTTCTATCCCACAGCAACAGCCATTATGAGACGATAAATGTCGCTAATAGTCAATAGATAGAGGGCATTAAACAAGGGATACAATCGAAATAAAAACTGTTGTTTCAACTTTATAAACTAGGTATAGCATGAAGGATAACTGATATTTCTTTTCATCATCGGACAAAGTGATACTTTGTCACAAGCATAAGTAATTGTATCTCGTACTATCAAAATTTCGATTATATCCTCATTAATTCTATACATTTACTAACTATATTATAACGATGATGAGAATTTGTCAAATATAGGTATAGAAACATAAATCATATATACGATATTTCCTATATTTTTTTTGTAATATTCAAACAAACTAAGTCTTTGGTGTTAATCTATCTTCTGCATTTAACCATGTGATGTTCAAAGAAAATGACAGATAGAAAAGTCTGTGATTGTATATTATGATAGAGTAAGATAAACATCATTAGATAAGTAGAAAAAATTGACGTTGACGTTTATATATGATATACTACTCACGAACAAACAAAAGATTGTATAGATATTTATTACAAAGATTTCTATTATTAGAAATAATCTAATTTAATTAATTATAATTATTTAGTTTCAGATGGAAACTTCATGTTTTTTCGAAATGCACTTTTTATAAGTGAAAAAATGTATTTATTATGTATTATGGCAGTGAAATTCTATTCAAACTGGTAACAGCTTTCAATGAATATAGATAATTGATTATCTGACGGATATCAATCATCTGCGTCATATTGCTTTTTTTTGTGTTTCATTGTTAAACGTTTATTATATTTTTATGTTTGTAATTGATGTATTTACGTAGGATATCTATATATTTATTAATAACAGCTTATTTAATTGCAAAAGAAATCGTAGATCTTAATAATCGTGATTTTCATCTGAATAATTATTTTACATGGACAAAAATAGAAATCTGATTATATATGTTTATAAATATAGTTCTGATAGCTATTAATAGTGATCCTTATTGACAAGAACAAATCTAGATAATATAGAAAATTGAAGAATTTGTTAGACTTCATGTGATTAAGTCAAATTAATGAGCCATTCAATATTAAATATTCATTGATAGGTCCAGAATAAATCATTGTCAGCAAAATAGTAAATAATTTTTCATCTGAATTAATCATTAAAACCCTATGATTTCGTTTATATAACGTGTTGTATAGTTGATCTTTGGAAAACTAACACTTATTATTATTATTTATCTAGTAAAGTACTTTATGATTATCATTGTCATGTCGATCAAAGGTCAGATCGTATGAATAACATTTCCTTTGACGGTTTCTTTTCTATTATCCTATTTGTCTCCAATGAATACTTTTCGATATTTATCAAATGTAAAATTAATAACGTAATTTCATATAAATTGTACTCGAATATTTTTGACTTGTTTTAATATCCTGCTGTTAAATCTGAAATATCAGGGGAAAAAAAGTCATATCTTATATAAACGGAAAGGATAAATATTATTTTTCATCTCGTATTACTTACTGCCAAAAATCAATTTTAATAATTGAAAGATTATTTATGTTACCAAATAAGATTAGTCATTCAATATAATAGAATATTCTTATTTATGTTTAGAAGATATCGCGAACTTCTAATTGTTATTGAAATTATTATTATTTTATATATGTAATATATCTAATGACAAGATATATGATGAGAAAAGAAAACCTTTCTTCAAACTTAATGTTTGTTAGATCGTATTTCAATAAGGTTGTAACATTGTTATTCTTCAGCATAGTTTGATCTAAGATGAAACGAGTTTGTTTCGTCCCTTTTTCTATCAATATATATTCTCCTTGGCATACTTATGTCGAAAAATGACTGATGTTAGTTGTTATTTTTATCGCTGTTACTGTTGTTGTTGTTCTTTCATCACGCACATAAATGTCCATCATTTATGTGCCAATATATATATATATATATGTATCTGTGTGTCATATTCTATACTATCAAGATTTTTGTAATATTTCAAAAGAAATTATATATTCGTATACATTTATTGATCGATTTTGTTATCAATGATAAATGAAAGGAACAACAAGCAAGTCATAAAAGAAAAATATCAGACGAACAAGAAAAAATTGGGCATCATTGTATGACAATAATATGTGTCACATCATCATCAGCAGCATAACTACTTTTTCATGATATTCCTCTACGCATACTATGTCAACTAACCTAACTTAGACAACAAGATAAGTCAAAATGGGTACTTATATAGATATATATATATACGTGTGTATATATATAGTATTAAGTTCGTTTCTCTGTTCCATTAAATGACAATTCACTTCTTTTAGTTCTCAAGTATAGAGCT